CACTTCTTTGCAAGCTTTGCCTGCACCCGTCACCCCAGGACCTGAACTGGGAGTACTAGTGGGTTAGGGGGGGTTGTTTTTGTTTGTTTCCTTGTTGTTGTTGCTATTACTTTTTTCACACTAGGTTACAGTCATTTTCCAAAAACTTGAGAGACTTGATCGTCCTGGTTTTCACTGGTGATGGGAGCTCGGAGAGGTTAAGGCTACGGTAGGGGAGAAACCGGAACTGGATCCCTGCTGGGTGCACTACCGAGTTCAAGCCCTTTACAACCTCAGAATTTGCTTGCCAGGAAGTTTTCCGCTTCTCAGGCGCGCCCCCTACTCGGTTGCTGTTTCACTCCTTCACGCAAAATCCTGGTGGTATCGCTACCCAATCAGAATTAGTTTGGCCTTCCTTTATTCCCTGGGTAACCCTGGAGGCCTCTGCTCCTTTTATCCTGTAACTGTCAGGTTTATAATTAATCAGGCAAGGCCTTGCAAAATGAATTTCTCATCAGTTTCTAGCTCAAAAGGAGATCAGCAGCTTTCTGGAGTCTGTATTACGTCAGCACCCAGAAATGTGACTTGTTGTTTAATAAGTGGTCATCATTTTTTAAATATCCTCCTTGATCTTTCACATAGGGTTGCAGCAGTTCCCTGGTGCCAAAAGGCTGCAGAAGTCAAGGATAAAGAATAAACCGTAGAGTAGTGTTCGACATTTGAAGTGTAAAAGGCCACCATTTACCCTCCTGGTTGATTAATTCATAAGCTTCATTTCATCCCCCTGCTAATGGTAAGTATTGAAGACGTCGTGGTCTTGGCTAGCTCTGATGAGTCATCTGCAAAATTTCGACTTTGAGATCATTCCAAGATCCTCAATAACACACAGGGATTTGGGGGGGGGGATTGTTTGTTAACAGTGTGGGGGTTTTGTTGGTTTTCTTTTGGCTTGGGGGTTGGTGAGACCGAGTCTATCTCACTTGTACAATCCAGGTTGGTCCTGAATGCTCAGTCTCTCTCTTCCTTAGCCTCTGAGGGCTGGAATCCTGGGTGTGTGCCTCCACGCTGGGCTAGCACAACTTAAGGCAGCATTGGTGTTTAACTCTGTCGGGAATGCAGCCGATGCATCCCCACTTCAGCTCAGTCAAGTCTCACAATAAACGTCTGAGTGGAAATTTATTCTCACATGGCAAAGTAGAAAACTGAAGCTTAAATTGTTTTATGAGCTTGATATAAAGGCTAATTTTGATAGTCAATTTGATCACATTAAGAAATCACCTAGGAGAATCATTGGGATGGTACAGCAGGTAAAGGTGCTTGCTACCAAGCCTGAGGACCTGAGTTTGAGCTCTGTGAACCCATGATAGAAAGAAAGAACTGATCACCCAGTTTGTCCTCTGGCTTCTATATATGTACTGTAGCATGGGCACATACACACACAATAAATAAGTAAGTAAATAAATAATAAATAAATAAAATATTTAAAGGTCACCTAGGAGATTGAAGGGTACCTCTGGGTGGACTGTCAGGTTTCAGGGTGGTTTTTGAGAGGATAATTAAGTTGATAAATATGAGTGGTACCATCACATGGACCAGGGACCTGGAATAAATAGAAGGGGTGAAGAGAGAGCCCTCTGCACTGACTTCCTCTCTCCTTCCTGCCTGTAGTGATGTGCACCCACAAACTTCACCTTGAGGCTCTGCTCAAGCGCCTGGGGCAAAGCCAGCATGGTTCAAACCCTGTGAAACACTAAGCCAGAATAAATCATTCCTCTTTATGTTGTTGCTGTCAAGTATGTGGACAGGGCTGTACATGCTATACTATAAGTAGTACACCTGCCCAAAGAGCTGGGTTCAAATCTAACTGTCTGTACCACTTTACCAATGAGCTGATAATTTAAAAGGAAGTTTGAGCTAGGGAGATAGCCCTGTGGAACAGCACTTACCTGGCTGTTCCTGAGTCCCTAGTCCCGTCCCCATGACCACACACATAGGTAAACTCTCACCCCCTCTTATTTTTATAAGAAAATAGCATCCCTCGATGGGGACCGAGCAGGAGGAATGCCTATGGATTTGGGGAGACATAGGATTATGGCCAGAAGACAGCACCTTCAATTTTATTAATAATAAAAACTCAAGACATTATAATCTGAACAAATTCTTTTCTATAACATAGTTCAGTTCCAATATACAATTTAAGATTGTAAAATGCATTGTATAAAAGAAGGGAGAAATTTCAAGATAAAGTATTTTGAAAATAGATGTGAGAAACCCAGACTGGTGCTGGAGTCATCCACACTTGGTCTTGGGCAGGACTGTGTTCAGGAGAGGATGGAGGCTGGGGAGATCAAGAATGCTTCACGAAGCAAATGGGTACCTCCATCTCAAGATGGCTCCGTCTGCACTCACACTGATGATGTACCGGTTTTCTGGACTTATCCGGATGCCCATGATGTTGCCACTGTGTCCCACCCCAACGTGAGTCACTTCACCCTCATTATAATCCCAAACTTTGATCAGATGGTCATGTCCACCTGGAAGACAATTACATGACATGGCTGACATAGGAGAGTGAAACAGCTCTGACCTTACATAACTGCTTCATTTTCAACACATCCCCCACCCCCCATGTGCTGGCTGGAAGAAAAATCCATATTATATAAAGCATTTTCTTGTTCTAAAAAAAAAAAAAATCTATGTATGTTGTAGTAAATTCAGAGGGGAAAAGAAAATACCACCAAGAATTAACCACTAAACACATCCTAATTTTTGGTCCTTCCACTCTTTTCTCCACAAATATAGAGGTGTGTGCACACATCTGTGTGTGATTGGCATCCCACTGTGTGTAGTTTGATATCCTTTTTTTTTTTTAAGTCAGTGTATTTATGGAACTTTGATCTATTTGAAGCACTTATTAATGTCCTGAAGAATCAAAGGGCCAGGCAGGATATTGTATTAATGTTGTTCCAGTGGCCATGTCCTGTGGTAAATGCCCCCAGAAAACGTTGACTGGTTCGTTCATGGGAAGGAGTTGAGGCATCACATTCTTCAACAAAAACAAAGAAAATAAAACTCGTGGTTCATACTTAAGTGAAAAAGATAGCAGAGGAGCTGGGAATGGTAACCTACCTAGTATCGTAGCACTCAGGAGTCTGAGGCAGGAGATTCACAAATTCAAAGCCAGCAGGAGCTACATGTATCAAGACACTATCTCAAAACAAAACAAATAAAAACAACCAAAAAATGCAGAGGAAGGCAACTAGAGGGCTCAGAACATTTAAAGGAAGGCTCATTTCTACCCACAAAGAGCAAACCTCACAATGTAAAGCTTGGCTTTTCTCTTTGCCCTGGACAAATCTCTTCCCTCATTGAAGTGTGACTTTTGGACTTTTCCGGCCATGGTGGTAGGGCTGTTCTGGGCTGAATGTTAACCAAGGTGTCCTCGAGACCCTCTACTAGCTCTTCTAGTTGCCTCCCGCCTAAGAGTTCCTTGGCCTCCAAAATAAGAAACCCTGGTGGTTTTTCTTATCTTATCTGGGGCTGGGACTAACCTGTAACAAAATGTTTTCCTTCCACAGTGATATCCATACCATTGATTGACCCAGACAAGGAACCTTCCAACTCTCTGATTACAGTCCCATCAAATACTTCCCAGTAAGCAATCTGGAATGCAGGAGAGAGGCATTAGGCAGGAGTCAGTGCAGTGGAGCCATCCACACTTACTAGCTAACAAAAGATGCTTCCACTTTACATAGAAGGTAGCAAAAATACACTGTGGGAGGGGATCAGTCGGAATTATAAATAGGCCATGGTGAGGGGGTGGAGGAACCATTTTGTTATTTTTAGTATTGGTTTTGGAATTTGCATGCTATTTAAAGAGATGTTGAGATGCGATAAACCTGGATTGTGACAGAGAGAGATTTTTGATAAGGCGAAGCAGATTGAGTCTGTCTGCTGTAACATATTTTACAAAGAAGAGAAGAGCCACTGGGGGATCTGCTTCTGTGCTCAGAGGAGAAGGGCCAAGCTGCAGGCCTGGTGGGAGGGGGGATTTCTTTCTTGGCAGGGTTTGGGGGATGGGGCTTTGCGCCAGTCTGACTGGACCCTGTCTCATCTTCACCTCATCTTTATCCGACACCAGACCCTAACTTGCCTTTCTGGTCCAAAGCAACAGCATATTCCATCGGGTGGGATTTAAATAAAATGAACATATAACCTTGGTCTCTGCCTGGAAATGGGAAGCCAAGTTAGGAAAGATGGGTGCTGAGAAGGGGGGATATTCCTCTGACTGGACTGTCGATGTGGGCCCATGCTATCACTTATGGGGGTCAAAATGCAAACATGTTCTAGCCCCTATATAAAATGACACACCATTTACATATAACCTATGCAATCCTCTATCCCTATACCTTAATAAATTGTTCAGTAAAGATGCAATCCACCCCCTTCCCTCGCCCCTGCTTCCAGCATGTGCAGGCATTCACAGTTGATTGAATCCGCAGACCTGAAACTCTGGGCTGTGGAGGGCCATCTGTGCTTACCTTCCGGTCTGTGCCACTGGTGATGATCTGGAATTCCTCAGGGTGATAACAAACACACTGGAATAGGGTGTTGGCCAGGATCATCTGATTCCTCCTGAGTCGCCTGAAAAGTAGATCCAAATGCTCTGAAACTCCACTTTCCCTCCCCTATAAAACGTATTTATTATTCAGTGTGCAGTTGGGCAAGCTTGGATGGGGATGGTTGTTTTCTAAGTTTTCATGCTGCTCACACAGTACCACTTTGTTGATGTTGTTTTTGGTCAAAACCGATATCTGGGGAACTGGAGAGATGGTTCAGTTTTTAAGAGCATGTGCTGCTCTTTGCAGAGGACCTGAGTTTAGTTCCTAGAACTGGCATCAAGCCACTCACAACTGTCTATAAATCTTGCCCCAGGAAATCTGATGCTTTCTTTTGGCTTCACATGTACACACAATTTTTTAAATGTTTTTTTTTTAATTTAAAAATAGACTTCTGGCTACTCTGTTCTGTTCTTATGTCTCCTCCCACCACGTCTATTAGCAAAAATCAGAAGACCTGGGCAAATGGTGGTACCCCTTTCTAGAGACAGAGAATGAAACTAGAGAAATGGTAATTTCCAGGGAGAAGGAACAAGAAGATGCTGGATTCAGAGCCAACCTACTACCTCTCACAATAATCTTGATTCTCAAGGCCACCACTGAAGCCAAGTGACACTCTCTGGACACTGAGTGGCAAAGCGTGGGGAAAGACTGTTTTAATGGATATTATTGGGCCCACCCCTAAGATCTGGAGTCAGAAGGTTGTGATGGAGGACCAGAAATCTGTGTTTGAAACCAGTTTTTCCTTCCCACCAATGGTTATGTACACACAAGTTTGAGAGCCCCTACCTTAGACACCATAGACAAGCTTAGGATATTTCAGACTTTGGTGGATTAAGGAATATGCATAGACTTCCCAGCTAAAAATCCCTAATCTGAAAAATGGAAATCTAAAATCTGACACTTTGGTCAGTACTAACATGATGCAAGAAGAAATGTAAAGGTTTTGGCTTTTAGAGGATTTGGGGTCTTAAGATTAAGGATGCTAAGCCTGTCCAAGAAGCACAACTGTATTGCTTCTCCGGAGCTGGTGTGCTGGCGGCTTGTCTTATGGGCCCAGCTCCTGGCTGAAAATGCACCTGCTGCAGTTTCTTCTCACAGTGGAAGCTTTCAAACAGTGTTTGAGCTTAGGAGTTTTAAAGATTTTTGGCACAAATTAAATACTCCTGAGGTACAAAAGGAAGGTGTTAAAGATTTGATGCAGTCATAAGCCAACCATTGAAATAAACTCAGATACCCCATCTTGTTACACATTTTCCCAATAGGAAGGTCATGTGTCTATGGATCTAGGCCTTGGACCAGCAACACCACATAGTAACTTATTAGACATGAAGAAACACAGGTGCCATCTAAATCTATTCAATGAAAAGCTATATACAGATCTGGGTATAGTGGCTCATGCCTTTAATTCCAACATTCGGGAGGCAGAGGCAGGGGGATCTGTGTGAGTTCAAGGCCAGCCTGGTCTGTAAAACAAGTTCCAGGACAGTCTGTTTCAGAGAGAGAGAGAGGGAGGGGAGGGAGGGAGAAAAGAAAAAGAAAGGAAAGAAGAAAATCTACATATAAACAAGATCTCCCAGTGACTGATATCTAAGTAGGGAGTCAGGCCCATCTAGAAAATGGGCTTGCTTTGCTTTGGGATTTTGTTTTGCTTTGCATGCATTCGTGTGTGTGTGTGTGTGTGTGTGTGTGCGTGCGTGCGTGCG